CCCCCCTTCAATCCTTGACACAGCGTGTGCCAAAAAAGAGATCTTGTTGCAAAAGTTTCATGGGTTCTTGGCATATGTGATCCCAGGCATTTTTCTCACACTTCTGATCCGAATTCCAGTCACAACAGAAACATACAGTAATTGAATTGATTGGTTGTCAGCTTTAAAAAGGTGACTATATCACTGTTTATCAGTGTGTTTTTATCACGTTGGCCAGTATCATGCAGCCCTCTGTGTAGGGAGGTTACTTGATCCTGCAGGAATTGCTCTGAGGTTGGTTGGGTTTTTTTTCACCAGCTAATAACGTTTAGCATTTCACCAGGCCACATTAAACTCAATGTACAAGCAGTTAAGAAAAGTACTGTATCTGGCACTGTTTAACGTCACTTACATGAAATGTGAGCAGCTGTGCCAGCATTCCTGGACTCTGAAAGTACTTTACCTTTCCTCTGTCTTTTGGCAATTAAAAACATTTTAATACATTTTGGGGAAATAAATACATTTTAATACAGTGCTATGATGTTAGGAAGGTCAAAGGATTAACTATGTCTTGTCATTTAGATATTAAAAGAAATCATGACCATTTTAGTCATAGAGACGCCTAGCTGCTTTTTATCTCCAGGTTCACCAGGCTGAGGATTTACAGTGCTCTGTCAGTGGCAGAGCTGTATGACAATTTAATGAAAATGCTCTCCCCAGTTTTTGCGTATGCATGCACACTCACTGGAAGAGTTACTCTGACTGCTACTTTAGCCATAGCACATTGTCATTAGACATCTTTGGGCTGAGCTTTAATCTTTGAAGAAGCAAGGCCAAAACTTCAATATCAACAGGCTTCAAAAGCTTCTATTTCAATGAACATCAGAAAAGAGGATCTTTATACTTTGTATGTAAGTCAAGAATGGGGATATTTTGCCTTTCTCTGCTTGTTTTTATATTTTTTAAAAAAAGAAAATGACAAAATAACTTTTTTCTGTTGATTTTGATTTTATAAACCTGAGAGAAAAGAAGCATTCGCCTTCCAGCTCAATTAAGAAATCCCTTTCAACGGATCAACCTTCGCATGAATATGGTTTCACTGGCTTTCGCACACAGGCTGCATAGTTGCTGAGGCTGGTGAGCTTCTGCTAGTGGGTAACTTGTTCCTCCTGGCCACTAATCAAAAAAGACCTACTTCTGAATGTCAGTTCTCGGGCACCCATTGCAGACAACCGTGCAGGGACTTCCCAAGTGCGTGGGAAGATTCTGGGGAAGAGATACCAGGAACAAGATCTGCATAGGAACAAGAAAAACCCATTACTGTCCCTTTGCCTGTTGTTTGATTGGAATTTTCTTTTAATGCATTAAAATACCCCTCAGTGAGATCCTCAAGCTATGCAAAACTAGCCCGACTCTACCAATTTTGCAGTTTTCTGGGTGATTTATACCCGGTGAAGAGCTTTACTGGTTTGTATGGAAAAGAAAGGAAGACAGTGATATGAGGAGGGCTGAGGAAACATTTTTCATGGTCAAGATACCTCAAGAACAATGGGATCCCCCAATGCAGAGAATGGAGCCAAAGGGACCATGGAGTCAGAAGAGATGCCAAAATGGAATTTTTTTTTTTTTTAATACAGTGACGTGTAAATCAAGCCAAATTAAAGCCAATACCACACACACTCACATCATGGCAGCACCAGCAGATTCCTTTCCAATTTAAGCAGAGAAAAACAAATGCTCATTGCCAGAGGCAGCTGTGTATAGTCATTCCTAACTACATCCCTTCCTTGAAATCGGAGGGATCTCAGTTTATGAGGTCCAGAATCCCATGTGATGACTGATTTCCCGTTTTGCAGTACAAAAGAAAACCATTTTGAAATTACAAGATTGTCAAAATGCAGTTGAGCTCTAGAGACACGTATTCCTGAAGATTCTTGGGAAGAGTGCAGTAAATTTCGTAAATACTCTTTCTGCATTTATTTGTTCATTTTTAAAGGAAAAGGGTACTATAACAGCTTAGATATTATCATGACAATTATTTAACTGTCTTCCAAATCATCCAAAATCAAAGGATCAAACCTTGTGAAAGGATAAAATTTCATGATCAGGCCTGGGAAGCTACAGGGCTTTTTAGGCTCCCAGACACCCACCTATTTAAAGACTTCCATTTATTTCTGACTTGAAGAGAAGAGTTAGCAACAGTCTGTGTGTGAGTGTATGACTTAAACACTGAGAAATGGTATCTGGATTTCTCCTGTTGCAGTAAGTACTGGAGGTGAGACAAAATAATGTCTCTGATTATCCCTTTAGGCATTTGACTGTCAACATAGCAGAGAGGAAAACACTGAAAAAGAAAAAAGAAGGGAAACACTGTTTGCGTGTGAACTCTGCACGAAATACGTTATGGAGTTAATAGCCTGATATTCAGCTGATTTAAACCAGCATTGTTACGTTAAAGAAGCTCTGCCAATTTACTGTAGCTAAGGATGTGGTGATTAGCTATTTCCATTGCTTGGAAAAGCACAGAATAAAAGAATTTTTTAGAAATCCTTGAACAAAACTGAGCAATATTTTGCTATATCTTACGTATGTGATTCTTAGAAATGGGAAGAAAAGAGCCCTTAACAAAGTAAAACCAGCAAGTTTATTTGTGAATGTTATCTGACAGTGCTAAACAGTTTTCATGAGTAAACAAAGTTCAATTCTATACGAGATTATCCATTTTATGTGAAGCTAAATTCAAATTGCTGCTTTTCTCATTAAAAAAGGGATGTTCCCCCTTAGATTAAAAGGAAGGTGGACTATATCAAAACCTCTTCCAATCCAGTTTCAATTCTTCCCCTATAGTGTCCCTATTCTCCATTCAGACTTATTTCTATATTTATTTAAGAAGTCACTCTTCCAGGATCTCATGATGTCTTTAGCACATGGACGGAGTATGGAGTTTGGTGCCAGGAATGCAGTGCAAGAGAAAAAAAAAAAAAAAAGGGGAAAAAAAAAAAAAAAAAAATTTTAAAAAAAAAAAAAAAAAACAAAAAAAAAAAAAAAAAAAAAAAA